AAGATAAAACATACTACAGTACTTTAAATATATTTTCTCAGCATTTTTTTTCTAGCTTATTGTAAGAGTGTAGTATATAATACATATAGTGTACAAAATCTATGTTAATCTACTTATCAGTAAGGCTTCTGGTCAAAAGTAAGTTTTTAGTAGTTAAATTGTTGGAGAGTTAGAAGGTACAAGTGGATTTGAATTGTGTGTGGGGGGGTCAGCACCCCTAACTCCTGCATTGTTCAAGGGTTAACTGTATTAAGTACTTACCGTATAGTGCACTAACTTTCTAATACTCTAGCAAGTAATCCCCTGAATTAATAGGACTATTTAACAGGTATGGTACATGAACATTAGCTAGACGTTGAATTCATGGTAGTTCATTTTTCATATGACTACTTTACAACAAAGGGAGATGTGTTCCCCTGGTGTATTTGAAATGGGAACACATGGTACAGATTGTCCTTTAGTAAAACAGGAATAGACATGAAGTCACTTGTGTTGGCAGTAGATACAAGGTATTATGCCCACTGCTCAAAAGTGCACCAACAGCAGTAAACACATATTAGACTGGAAAATGCTTCTCTTTTTAGCCATGGCACAAAATCATGACGGACACCATGGAAGCTACGTGTAGAGCTCTGAGAAGGTTTGAAAAACAACATTAATTACTTCCTGGTTAATAAAAGTTTATTTAATTTAAGCAAACATCTTTTAGGATTTATATCTGAGTACCAGAAAATTATTTCCATTTGAGAATAAAACCAGAGATTGATGGAAATCCTAATTAATTGATCAAATACTTAAAGCTTATTTTGTGTATTTCACTGTGTTTGGCACAGCAGGGGAGACAAGTGAAAAATCTCTCCCTATCCAAATATCTGAAAAACACCTATAATCTGAGTATACATTACTTATTTTGTGATGAATATGTTTAATGTATTTGGTCATTTTAAAATAAAATTCTTACAACTCTACACAGAATGTCAAAAGAACAATTCACTTATCAGATCAACTAGTTTTTTTGGTAAAAAGTGAAAATAATTTAAACCCAAAATATCCAAATTAAATTGTTTGCTTTTTCATATAGTAATGATTTGAATATGTATATATTCATATTAAGAGGTGTAATATTTCAGTTTTATATAATTTGATAACATTTTTTATTGGAATGTTTTGAAGTATACACAAAAATCTAAGATTTATCTTTTCAGATTTCATAATATGTTTTGCTGCTATCTCTTTTCTTGGTACTGTTACCTTCATTTTAATGTTTTTAAAGAATGAATGAGAAAAATAATACATTCTTGCCCTTGAAATCATACACTGAATTTATAAGGTAAGCCATCAATATAACATTGTTTTGAGTAATTTCTACTAATAGAGGTAGGTTTGCATCCTATTCTTGCTGTAATCTGTACCAGTCCAGAGTAGGTGCTCCATGTAAATTAATTGAATGAATGAATGTATGAACTGTTCATTAGCCAAAAAGAAGTTTAAGTTCTATTTTCAGTTTCTAGTTACTTGCACTGTTAGATCCTGCTCCATCCTTTTTAGTAGGTCTTGTTGCATTTAACAGAAACGAAAATCCTATTTTCAGTTTCCTGTACTTAGGATAGTGGAGTCTTGGGTACCCTCTTTCATCCCTTTGGTATCTAGTTTCTTGTGAACTTTTTGGGAAGAGATGAGAGGTAACTACAGAAGGAAGACAGGAGTAACCGTTCTGTCTCTCCAACTGAATATTTCTCTTTAGGGTTACATTTACGTGTTAGAATGAAGTTGATAAGCATATGGGATATTCACTTTGTGCCCTCTATAAGGTTTATACGTTCGTGGAAAGGATCCTTTTGTTAATATCTGAGCCATTACTCCAGGCTTTTTGTTGTTGTTGTTTGTTTTGTTTTTAATAAGCATTTTTGAATACAGAAACAAAGGGAATTGGATATTTCATTAGTTCCACAATTGTATTTTAAAACATTGAAATGATTAGGAGCTTATTATGAGAAAAGGTTATAATTACTTTGGTTTAGAGTTTAACTTCTGTTAAAGATTTATAATTCATAAATTATCCATGTGGACATTGGAAAAAGAATTCTAGGTGTAATGGACCCTTAAATGTCCACATGCAGAGTGACAGTGTTAACCTTCTGGTGTTTTGACTTTGTGACATTTCATATGCAGATATTAGAACACCAGAAAGTGGAGTAAAAATTTAAATTTCTCTCTATACATTTTGGCCCATCGTGGCCTCTCCTTTTTATATCTAATGGAGCATGGAAGTGATTGACTTTTGCTTCAAATGATACTTATTAGCATTTGGAAAAACAAACATTTAAAAATCACTCAAAAGAAAAATACTCCAGTTAGGTAAAGATTATTTTAATTTACCTGTGGTGAATCTTGTGCCTCACTGTCATTTTGAGCTTGAAACACAGCAGCTGCATTCTGTGGTCCTAGCAATCTGCGAGCCATCTTCTCCTCATATGTTAGCCGCTTTGAAGAAATCAATCATTAAGGAGAAAGTAACGAGACTTAATAAAAGTTGTTTGTGCACCTTTACCTTAAAACCACCAAGAATGCTACCAAAGAAGTATAGTTCTGTGTATTGAATTAGAGATAAATACTATGTTTTAAAACTTTTTTTCATTCAAAACATTTCCCTTCTGTTCTAGTGTCACTTTCACATCTGTAATATTCACTTCTGTTTTCCTCTTGCTCCTAGGAAAGGCAGGCATAATCCCCCTTAAGTAAGGCTCTCCCAAGTGAAGGGAAATTCTTCATGTTTTTTGTTTTGCATGTTCCCATTGACTCCATCTTTGAATATAGCACTGTATATCCTCACATTGAGAAATAACTTTTATTAAATGAACACTGAATATTTTGTTTAATTTCTGGCTTGAAAGCAGTCCATCTGATATGTTATATGTGTTTGGATTGAAGACATACAGTACTGTTTCAAAGATAAGTGACTAATACAGTGGGTACAGTAAGAGTTCTCTCATAAATATCATGGCTATTTGTCCAGTCATATACACCAAGGTACATGAAGAAATCAAGGTGACTGACAATATCTCCTATTGTTTATTTGGTCATCAGACATATTTTATGTGAGAGTAATGCTTAAAGTGGAAAATCTTCAAATTTTTTTTTGCTTCATTCTTTTGTTTTTATATTGTTTTACATTCTTCTTTTGCATCCTTCTTTTACTACTGAAAACCAAGAGGTGATTTCATGCAGAATGTTTGGTATTGTCTCCAAATATTCTCTCTTTTTAGATAATCCTATCCCTTGTGGATTATATGGACAAAGATTTGTGAGACAGAAAGGCAGAAATATTTTATAGTTTAATTGGCTTTTTATAGAAAATAGACATTTTGCTTACTTGATTTCCATTATGAAGAAGGCTGTCCTTGCATTTTAGCTTTCTCTCCAAATCTTGAATCAGAGCTTCTTTTGATCCTTGTATTTCATGGTCAGGAGTCCTTGGTGTGGGTTTATTAGCATTTGCATTTTGGGATGGTGTAGCACTTAGAGGTTGGCCAACTGAGGGTTGTTGATAGCTTTAAAAAGAGAAAAGTTTTTATTGAAGTTTTTATTTATTTAGGTAACCTCTATACCCAATGTGGGGCTCGAACTTAGGATCAAGAATTTATATACACAATGGAATACTACTTGGCAATGAGAAAGAATA